TTGGCCAAAGAAGAATGCAAAACCACGAAAGGACGGGAGACCAGTGGAAAGAACTTGACTTTGGCTGGAGTTGTTTGGCTTTGGGGAGTGGAGACAGATGAAACGGAGCACAGTCATCGTCTTGTGAAGATCAGAACGTGGAACTATAACGAGTAACTGAGTAGTGTGTAGGGCATGATACACTGAGTTCATGAACAGAGTGTAGATTGGTAAAGTTCATTTGTGAAAATATTAAAATGAATATGAATTAAAATAGGAACCCTATTAGAGAGAGTGACAATAAGAATCTTCAATAAATTAGGGCCAATGACCCCAGGATGAGTAGACACATGCTACAATAAGGGGTAGAGATAGATGTAGTCAATAGATATAATGTTCAAAATTCATTTCATGTCCTGTATATGTACATGACTCTGACCATGGTATTTCTAATTTCTTCATATGCATGTGAACGTTGTACTCTGACTAAGAAAGACTGAAGGAGAATCAATGCATTTGAATTATGGAGTTAGCAAAGAATATTGAAAATACCATGAACTGCCAAAAGAACCAACATGTCTATTTTGGAAGAAATATAACCAGAATGCTCTTTAGAGGTGAGGATGGCAAGATTTTTGTCTCACATACTCAGTCACTTGCAACATGGGCTGAAACATAAGAACAAGTGTGAGGATGACGCAGGATCAGGTGGTATTTTGTTCTGTCATAAGGAGAGTCACTCCAAGTCACACCCGATTCGACGGCATGTAACAGCAGCAGAGATCTACAGCACACAACCTGACGACTAAATGCAGTCACACTGCTTGGAGGTGACACAAACCAGTGGAGACACTGACACAGGTTATTAATGAAAATAATTGTAGGACTGACATTTCCATAATTCTCCAAACTACCCAAAAGTATAATATGTGAAAAAATGATATGAGATGCACCCACACAAGTAAAGTCTGAAAAAAAATCTAAATAGAATATTTAGTAATACAGAAATATTACTTTGTTTATATTTTCTCCTTCACTAATTGATTTCTTCCTCTGCTGAAATGGATTATTTTTCTCCTCAAGAATGCAAGCAATCTTGTTACAATAAGGAATCGTATTTAGTATGTCACCCATGCCCAGATGTATAGATGCAGACTTCCAGTATAAACACAAGGGGGTTATTAGGTACTGGTGGCATTTCAGACACTAATTGGGAAAATATTCTGTCTACTATTGAAGTTTAATAATCATTGAATGGTGAGGTCAAAATGTTGTCTGAGAAAGATAATTGACAATTGTCAAAAGGATAAAGAAGGTCAATTTTTCTTCCACAAATTCTGCACTGTCGTGTTTGACTTTAAAACAAGGAACAAATGTTACTTAGTCAGCACGCTGAAGGTGGATCATTTCTTAAGGGTTCTTGTGGTTAGTTGCCATTGAGTAGGCCCCCAACTCATGGTGACCCCATTAAGCACGGTCCTACACCATTTCTATAATCAGTATAGCAGATGAGGCCATTGCAGCTCATAGTGTTTTCAGTGACTGAGTTTGAGAAGTACATTTCCAAATCTGTTTCCCTACTGCATCTTAGTCTGGAAGTTTCAATGAAAAACTGCCTCACATCATAGCCACCTCTAGTGATGGAGGACTGACTGGCGGCTGTGCATGAAGTGTATCGCCTGCGATGCTTTGCTCAGGTTTCTTGAGAGTCTCTTAAGCAAACTCACAAGGAATGAAATGTAGCAACAACAATTTATAACTGATTAATTTACACTAATGCTTAAAATGTTGCATAGATAAAAAATACTTGCATGAGAAAGTGAACAAGTATGTGATGACAAACCTTGGTTTGTTTCTGTGAACTAGCCTTGATCGAGTAGAAATGCTGTATTTGGGCCTGAGTGAGTAAAACAGCCCCTGGGTAGATGAGAGGCAGCAGAGAAAAGCTCTCATGATCAATCTTCAGCAAGGTGAAAACAGGAAGGACAGAGCTTGTGGGGAAATCTCGGATGTGCGAGAGGCTCAAATAATTGAAGAAGTTAAAATAAGAGCGTAGTGAAGCATAAAGTGTTAGAAGGGAAATGGTAAGAAATGAAACTAAGGAAATGATCAAGATCCAGGTCCAGCCTGGTTAAGCAAGTGGTCTTTTTTTAAGAGCAATGTGGAGTTACCAACAGGTTTTATGCGGAAAAGATTAGGTTTTCATTTTGAAAGATCAGGTAGGGACGTTTCAGTATACTTCAAAGAAAAGAAATGGTCAAGTGAGGAATTGAGAATAGAAATTTAGAGGATTTATCAATTAATTTTGTTTGTGGGCAAGAAAGGATGCTGTTTTGCTAGGTGCCGTCTCTGACCCATAGTGACCTACTGCACAATAGAGCAAACCATAGGGCCAAGCTTACAACAGTTTGGACCCTCAGAAAGAATGGACAGTCCAAAAAGATACTGACTATTGTGAACCTGGGAAGCGGAGAAGCAGTAAGTGAAGGAAAATAAAGTGAATTTAGTATTGTACTGTTGGGTTTGAATCGTCTTTAGGAGAGTCAGGTAAGACAATAAATATGTAATTTGATGTAGGCTGAAGTTTAGAGTTGTGGTTTATCACAGAAGCTACAGGAAGCGATAATATAACCTCCTTCCCATCAAAATTGACCATTCCAGAATGGTAAGAGAAGACGGTTTTGAAATAAGGGATACTAGAAACTAGAGGGACAGGAGAATTAGGGAGAAATTAAGAGTGAAGGGATTGAATGGAATAAATACTGGGAGAGGTTGGTATCATAGAAACAAACAATAGCTTTAAACTGTGGATCCAGTGATTATATAAGGACGAGAGAAAGAGATTGAGAATCAAAGAGAAGTGTGTGACAGGGTTTATGAGAAGAGTATTTTCAGAGAATGATTGATAACATAAGTTTGAATGTAGTAGATATGTGCAATTGGGGTTGGGGAAATAAAGTGGAGTATGTTTAGTTGTGTCCATGAGAAGAAAGATAACACAGGATTCGGAAGGGGCGCTAGTGAAAAGGTGTCATTCATGCACTTTGGACGTGTGGTCAGGAGAAGCCAATCCCGGGAGAAGGACATCGTGTTTGGTAAAGGAGAAGGGCAGCAAAAGAGAGGAAAGCCCCTAACACGACGGACGGACGCAGTGGCTGCAACAAGGGGCTCACACATGAGGACCAGTGTGAGGGTGGTGCAGGACCAGGTGGGGTTTTACCTGTTGTAGATAGTTGGAAATGTATAAATCTAGATGGAGGATATAGTGAGAAACAACACTTGCACATTTTAATGTTTTTGTTCAAGAAAGGCTTCTTTGCTTTTGTGGATATATATAGATATATTTCATTTTGCTTGTACTTTAGTGCCTACATGATGCAAATGGTTAAACACATTCAACTACCAGAGGAGAGGTTTTCAGTTCGAACCCCTCCACCCCTCACACCCAGAGGTCTCCAAAGACAAACCATGTGATCTCTTTCTGAAATGTCACAGCCCCAAATCCCTCTGGAGAATTCCCCTCTGACATATGAAGTCACCATCTGTGGAAACCAGTTCACCACAACCAACAACAGCAGTCTCCATTTTCAAAGTGGAGATGATTATGTTTTGTGCATATAAGAAATGGATGTCTACAAAGAGAGCAAAGGAGGTAGAGTCCTGATTGGAATAGTCTACAGTTTTCTGAAAAGGAAGGGAAATCATCAGGACACAGATAAAGGGATTAGCATTGGATTGGGAGTGGGGTGGGGAAACACTTCTCCATTGTAACCGAAAGAAAAGAGAAACGTTGCTGTGAGTCTGTAGAATTTAGGACAGGAAGTTTAGGAATTCCCACCTGCCTTTTACTGTCTCTGTGTAAGATGGAAAGTCATTGGCAAAGAGGGAGCCAGAGTTGAAAGTTTCAGGGTCCTGGGGAATGTTTGAAGGAGCCATTAAAAAGAGTAAGATAGAATGTTGACTTGGAAGGAGCTTTCAAGCACTGTTGACATCTATTATGAATTAAGCCCATAATAATCACAAAAATGATCAATTATTCAGTGGTGCTGTTCAGTTAATAATATTCGGAGTCATTGGGACAGCTGCATTGATTACATAATGGCTTTGAACAAAAGCTGTACCAACATCACTAAGGAAAAATTACTCTCAGATTAACCCATTAGACCATTCATTTGGAACTCAGGTTAAAGGTCAATTTGGGTAAGCCCATTCCAAAAGATGAGCACACTCACTTCTCAACTAAAATTACACATAACTAGAATTTCTGATAAAGCATTTAATATAATTTTCTTTCTGCACTGAAAGGGGTGGCATACTGGGTTACAAATTAGGCTTCTAACTGCCGAGGTATGCAGTTCAAATCCACCAGCCACTTGGAGGGAGAAAGATGAGGCTTTCTACAACCCCAAAGATTTCCAGTCTCAGAAAACCACAGGATCATTTCCACTAGGTCTTATGTGGTCACTATGTGGTCCAAGCCAAATTGATAGCAGTGAATTTGTTTGTTTGTTTTTCCTTTACTGAATTAATTCCTAAAGAAAAGGATTACCTTTAGATTTTCTCTCTTTCTGTCGGGAACATTTCTCACTGCATTGGTTATAGTTAATACTAGATTAGTATTACAAGAATTGGACCTTGATCAGAAATGGCTATTCACTAATAAATAGACTAATAAATAGACATTCACACCCGATTGATAGCCTTGTCTAAGAGTACAATTTATCTAGCAGGGATATATTTGATTCATGCAAACTTATCAAATTAAAGAATGGAAACATTTATGATGAACTCTCATAGGAAAGCAGACCTGAGATCTAGAAGAAATGCAATTAGTCCTCCATCTTCATTAACAATTTTAACTAAAGATGAAATTGTATCCTGTGCTTAAACAAACTTGCTGATAAATTTTCTCTATTCATCCTCAAACAAATAATAATCTCTCCATGTGGGCAATGCTCTCATATAATAGTAAATAGAACAGTAAGTAAACACGTTGTGAGTTATTGTGTTTTGTGTTTCAGAGTGACTGTGTGCTTAGTTTTTTCCTCGATGAACCGGTGCAGCAACCCACGGAAGTGTCTTCGCTTGTCAATATAGGCAAGTAACATCTTCATTATCACTCTGTGGAATTGCTTCAACAGAACTCTTTTAAAGAAAATAGCAACCATAATATTTTTTTAAAGTAAAATCTATATTTTGGAAGAAAATAAGAGGTTAAGACTGTTTTCTACCTTTCCCAAGCTCCTTAATCCTCCAGGATAGGTTCTCCAGTTTAAATAGATCACAGATTTTTTTTTATCCAGTTCTGAAAATGGCACGATATTATACAAGTTATCTATTTGAATTCATTGTGCCTTCAAATGGAATAGTGTGTCCTATTTTCCTCTACAGGTAAGTCTTACAGCTTACCCCATGTTTTGAAATAAATAAATAAATATTATATTATATTAATGATTGTGAATTGTCTAGCCATCTTTCTCTTATCTTTCCAAGTGCAACAATTACTCCCTCTCCTTCCCAAGTCTTTCCTTAATTATCAGGTTCCTAAAGCAGTCCCGCACAATTATCCCTCCTATTCGCTGCCAAATATGTCTTAATTCTAGTGTTCTCCTCTATCATTTCTCCTAGATTGGGAGGCTAATTTTAAAATGCTAAATCAATTTTAAGTATTTGTAATAGAATTACATTGCAAGCAGTAACCTGCTGGGAACTGATAATGGATTTAGATAATCTACAATTTGCAAATATGTGCCAAACCACATCCCTGACTTGTGCTCCCAGTTTTGTTGTTGTTGATTTGTACTTTGTTCTCTTTTTTTGGTGGTCTTATTTAGGTAATTCCTAAATTTAATTTTGTCCACGCTTACCTCTTGAATCTATATCTTTAAAGATTGGGCTGAGCAGCCAATATTATCCCCAGTCCCATCTGAGAACCTAGTTACTCCTTAGTTGTTTAACTCTATAAACAGCCAGATCAGTTTGTATATCATAATTATTTTTAGGCTACATCTTTACCTTTGTGTCTGATTTTCTTTTTCCTTTAGATGAAAAGTAACTTGAAATCAAATACACACCTCTGCATGATCCGTTGCTCTGTACTCACAAATGCTCCAACCATGAGTTTGTACAGCACTCCTCCCCCACCTTGTATCTATGTGCGGTGCCTTCTATATACATCCCAACCATAAAGAATATTAGATAAGGAAAGCACCTTCTTATGTATTATGGTATATACCTAAAAACTAATGGTGATCAAAATATCTTTAATGTGAGGCTAATAATTAATAGAATTCTGGAGACCCGACTTTTAAAAGGAGCTGCTGACTGCTGGATCTGCTCCTGTTCTCTGCTGAATGGCCCTCAGATTGCTGCTCGGCATTTCAACAAATTAAGCAGTGGGCCACTGTTCCGTTTTAAATTTTGCTGATAGTTTATTTCTCTGAAAATTCTTTAAAATATATATGTATATACAAAAAACTTGGATTATTATTACCCAACCTCCAGTTAATATTTCATTTTTATGGCTTGCCTAGTTCTTAACGCATTGTAAAATATTCAACCTTTTTTAGCAGGGAAGATAGAAAAAAGACTTTATGTTCAATATTTCTAGGTAAAGGCTGCCTGCAAAATACAGCCTATTATCTTGAAACAATGAAGCTCTTTGTCCAAGCCGAAGATGTAAGTCATTGTACTAAATAGGGATAAGCAGGAAGTTGTTCCTTCTTGTGTCTTTTAATTATTTCCTCATACATACTTCAGAATTATTAGCACTTTGGCAGAGAATATAAAATTATTCTAAGAAAGAGCACAATATTTATTTCAAGCACTGTCTTGTCAGTTCAAAATTTGAGCTTACATCATTACATCATCACAAAATAAAATTATGCAAGGGTGTATTGGATACAGCGTTCTCCTAAGCAAAAGTCCCAGCTGTCACCATTGCACTGCCTTCTACTACGAATTTAAGATGATCAATAACAGATACCAATGCATCTTGGCACATGATTTATGAAGAAAATGGTAGTAAGAATTGGAAACCCAGAAAATAATTCCCATTTGTCTTCAGACAATTAGAAGAGTTTATCTTTTGTAAGTTTCAACCCAGTCATCTCTCTCTTTCTTTAGCCATGACTGACGTCATGGACTTAGTTATGGTAGTGACAAGGACCTGACCTTGATTTCATAATCTTAATATTCTTCAGTTACCTGCTTGAAATTCTTAGCAGTTTTTTAAAGGGGCTCCCCAGTTTTATTTTGTATTGAACCTTACAGCTTATATGGACAGAGCTGCAAAATCCTTGTTATGGTGTCTATTATCTGTCTATTCTATGTATATTTTTTAATCATTTTACTGGGGCTCATACAACTCTTAACACCATGCACACAGACATCAATTGTGTAAAGCACATTTACACATTCGTTGCCCTCATCATTCTCAAAACTCGCTTTCCGCTTGGGTTCCCTATTCTATAGTTTGACCACTGCTTTTTTCCCTAGTTCCTCGAGTAAGACAAACTCCTGGGTACCTACGGAGTCCTCTCTACTTGGGTTATATATTTGATACCTGTTTTGCCTTTTCCATTTTTTCTTGTATCTTTCAGACTTCATCTCAATGATCTTTGCTGTATGTCTTGGCATAATTAGTTACCCCTTAGTCTGTTAATTGAAGGGTCAGCAGTTCAAGCCCATCAGCCACTCTGGGAGAAAGATGAAGCTCTCTGCTCCTATCAATATTTACAAGCTTAGAAACTTAGGCAGTTCTAGCCTTCCCTATAGCGTCTTCATGAGGTTGTTGTTTTGTTTTGTTTTCATGTCTCTTCTTCACAGCATGTTTGGCCACAATGAGCAAGGATCGTATCCTCCTTGAGAACATAATCTAGGTCTAGCTGGCAAACCAGGACTTGCCACAGGCTGTTGTTGCATGCCACAGAGTCAGTGCCAGCTCACAATGACCGTGTACACAACAGAAGGAAACAGTGCTGGGTCCAACACCATCCGAACACTTATTATACTCGAGCCCACTGTCGCCACCCCTGTGTCTGTTCCTCTTGTTCAGGGGCTGTCCTTGTTTGCACTGACCCTCTTTACCAAGCATGAGAGCCTCTGATGGAAACTGGACTCTCCACATCACATGCCTAAAATATGTGTGGTCAAGTCTGACTGATAATAAACCTGTAGGGCAGAGTAGACATGCTCCTGAGGGTCAGTGCAGAGACATTGTGAACAATCTGAACACAATTCTTAGCATTCATACCCCAAATCTAAATGCTATGCAGTTTTATTTCTTTTCTAATTTCCAGTGATTTTTCAGCTTTAAATGTAAAGGTATGTTTCACTGAAGAGAAAATAAAGTACCAATAATTTCAGTGATTGATAACTGCTGCATCATAAGTCCTACTAATTCACAAGTTAATAACATACACACTATACATTCAAATTTCCATTTTTTCATATTGTTTATCAAACTTATTAGGAAAACTTCATTAATATATTTAGAATTAAAATTTGACAGTAAGTATCACACTCACGCTTTACTGTTGAGTCAATTCCGAATGATAGAGACCCCATCGGACGGGATAGAACTGCCTCTGTGGATTCCCAAGGCTGCAACTATTTATGGGAATAGAAAGCCTCATTTTTCTCTCCCAGAGCAGTTGGTGGTGTTTAACTCCAGGCCTTGTGATTTGCAGCCCAAAATAGAAGTCTTAATTCCACTAGGGCTCCTCTAAATATCAAAAGTACATTAAAAATTTAAGCACTTAACTTCTTCAAATGATTAAAAAGTAATAAGGCAAAACTAAGAGGAAATTTACATGTTCTATCGGTGTAGGAAAACAAGGTTACCTCAAATGTTAAGAAAAATAATTTCCCAATCATTTAAACAGTTAAATCATAATTCTGTGATATATTTCAAAACATACCTCCTATAAAGTGGTTTAGAAAAATATTAAAATAAGCATAAATATATTGTTGCTATTGGGTGCAATTGAGTTTAACTCATACTGACCCCAGGCAGCAGAGAGAATTCCCCCCTAGGGTATTGTAGGCTGTAATCATTTATGGGGATGGTCAGATTACCAGATCCTTCTCCCACAGAGTCACTGGATGGGTTCAAAAAGCCATCCCCTTCCATTGGCAGCCAGGTGCTTAATCACTGAGCCACCAGAACTCCATAGGAACATTAAGCAAATGTAAAGAAAATAAATCAGAAGTCACAATCCTAATTAATGAGAAGGTTGAACTTAAAAGAACGAATTTTCTGGATGGCACACATGGTTAAGACCTAGAATACTAACCAAAAGGTAGGCAGTTCAAACCTACCCAGAGGCACTTTAATAGTGAGACCTGGTGATCTGCTTCCAACAGGTCACTGCCTTGAAAATCCTAAAGACCTATTTTATTCTGAAAACACAAAACAGTCCTTATGTGATATTGCCTGGATGGTAACTAACAACAAGCAAAGAACAGGGCCTTAAAAGGTAATGGAGTGTATCTCAATAAAGATATGCAAAGTTATGATTGCATACCACGTAATATACCAGCAGCATATGTAAAGCAGAAGTTATAAGACAACTTGGAAATGCATGGACTATACTAGCCATCAGATATTCTAATTCACTTGCTATATATAACAGAAAGTAGAAAAAAATCTTTAGGGTCACAAAAACTTTAAATAGCAAAGTTAAAAAATAAAACTGACTAATTGATATCAAGCTCTATCTTAAAATTAAAGAACATATGTTGCTTTCAACTGTTCCTAGAGCATCCATTGTATTGTAAGCCACAAAGAAAACTTCAATAGTTTTAAAAAGTAGAACTAGAATAAACAATATTCTCTGATCATGTTACAATAAAATACACTTTTAAAATATACAAAACAAGAAGATCTTTACATGTGATCTTCTGAAAATCATTCTTAAACAATTCTTAGGTCAAAAAGAAATTATGAACTCAAATTATAAAATTCCTAAAAACAGCAATAATTAAGTACTACATATCAGAATTGATGAAAATGCTGATAAAGCTATGGGATAATTAGAATGAGAGCTGCAAAATAAACCAAAGGTACTTATAAAAATTATAAAACATATGAGTAG